ACAGAGACAGGAAGACACCTGGTGCTCACTGGCCGACTCACTAGTCTTGCTGAATGAGTGAGCTCCATGTTCAATGACAGGCCCTGTCTCAGAAAACAAGGTAGAGAGTGACAGAGAAAGACACTCAACCTCTACCCCGCCCCCATATGCACACATACGAGTGTGCACCAGTACACATATACAGGCATACACTATCCATTCCGTATCTATCTATCTATCTATCTATCTATCTATCTATCTATCTATCTATCTATCTATCTCTCTATCTCTCTATCCATCCACCCATCCATCCATCCATCCATCCATCCATCCATCATCTCAATCTCTCCCTCTCCCTCCCTCCTTCTATCTCACACCTACAAACACAAACAAATGACATTATAATTGGAAATTAAATTTCAGAATGAGTTTTATCAGAGACAAACCACATCCAAAACAATAGTTTCTAATTTCAAATTCCATTTGTTCATTGCCAATATATAGAAAAACCATTTTGTCTTTTGTATAATATGCATCTTATATTCTGAAAACGTGTTACATCTGTTTCTTAGTTTCAGGGCTTTGAGTTCCGTCTGTCTTTTCAAATAGTCTACCTGGACAGCCACAGTTAGACACAAGAAGTCATAACAGCTCTTCCTTCCCAGTCATCCCCTTTTCCTCCATTCTCCTGTCTGACTGCAGTAGTTAGGACTCTGGCCCCCAGAGGACTATCTGAGAACAGTTCCGATTCTAATAGTTCAGCAGTACTGCGTGCACTCTTTCCTCCCTCTGGTTAGCCTGGAGTCCATTCTCCAGTGCTTACTCTGCAGCCTTGCTATCTCCATTCCTGTCTTATTTGTCCGGCCACAGCACATCATAAAAATACTCAAGACTTGAAGGGGACGTGACTAAGGCACAGACACTAACACAGCACAGGGCCTCTGCTTTGTACACTCACTAGCACATGATGAGTGATGTTGATATCCCCTCGTACAAGGTAGGACGAATAACAGACTTTTCGGTAAAAGGAAGGTGCCATAAAACTTATTTTGCGTTAGTAATCATCCTTGTTGCCATAACAAAGGCAACTTAAGGATAAAAGAGTTAGTTTTGGCTTGACGTTTAAGGGGATGCAGTGCTTCGTGAAAGGAAGCCTGTTGGCAGGAGCTGGAGGCAGCTGGTCACATGGCATCCGCAGTCAGGAAGCAGAGAGGGATGAATGCTGGTGCTCAGCCCCCTTTCTCCTTTTTATTCAGTTCTAGGACTCCACCCATGGCATAGTGCTGCTCACATTCAGGGTGAGTCTGCCATCCTCTTAAACTTCTATGGAAGCATCGTCACAGACACACCCAGAGATACGTTTCCATGACGAGCTGATGGTTTTTAGTCCAGTCAAGTTGATAACGAAGATTAGACATTATAGTTCCCCAGACATATGCTGATAATGAACTAACTGGTCACACAGCCTCCCAATGAACTTCTTTCAAAGGACCCTGCCTTAGTGACTGCTCTATTGCTGTGATGAAACACCATGGCCAAAGCAATTCTTACGAAAGAAAGCATTTAATTGGGGGCTCGCTTACAGTTTCAGAGGGTCACTATGGAGGGGTGCATGACAGCAGGCAGGCAGACATGCTGCTGGAGCAACAGTTAGGAGCTTACATCCTAATCCACAGGCATGAGGCAGAGAGAGGGAGAGACAGAGACAGAGAGAGAGAGAGCACAAGACTGGACCTGTTTTGGGTTTTGGAAACCTCAAAGCCTACTTCAAGTGGCCTACCTCCTCCAACAAGTCCTCATCTTCTTACCCTTCCAAAACAGTTCCACCAACTGGGGACCAAGCATTCAAATATATGAGCCTATGGAGGCCCTCCTCGTTCATACCACTGCGGGCATCTAAAATCAAAGGAGTCCACAGTTAGGATATTCGAATTTTGGTTTTGTTTTCTACATATAGCAAATTCAGCTTTCTCTTTGGCAAGCCTTCTTCGGAGTCAAGCTCCTCTCCAGTGCTCTCTGCTCATAAGGGATAAAGAGAAAACAGCTAGAACACAACGGTTCTTAGAGCACGTGAAGGCAACGTGATGGTGATTACCCACCAGCAAAAGCAAAGCGAATAAATACAGCAAAACAGTCCACGACACGGATCTAGCCTCCCAGTGCAGAATCCAAGAGCTCAAGAACAGGCTATGTGTGATCTTATTGCTCCCTGGTGTGACAGCATCCCCACTGGATGTGGACTCAATCTCTGTTCCTCTTATGGCCCCATCCGGGCATTTCTACTTCTGCTCTCCTACTTCAGGGTCTCTGTGACCTCCCTGGCCCCCACTGTCTGTGCCTGCCTTTGCCCGACACCATCCAGAGTGCTGGCAGGGAATGCTGTGTGCTGGCAGGGAATGCTGTGTGTCAACCAAAAGATCATCGTCCTTGGTCTTGACTTGTAACTCCGTGCCTCTGGGGTTCCTCAGATTCTCAGGAGGATACACCATGGCAACCTTCCTAGGAGAGGCGTTTTAAACGCCTCCTGATTAACCCAGTCCCCAGTTGGCAAGGCTCATCGTGATTACTTATGTGACAGGTCCGAACAGCCGTTCTCACTTCGACTTCCTCAGTGTGAACATGCGGGGTCCTTTCCTCAAGGATCCAAGCGTACAAACTCTCCAGAGTCGATCCTGGCTCAGCTAATTCTGAGCTGTGACCCGGAGCAAATTCCTTAGTCCCTCTTAAGAGCCTCTGTTCTCCGACCTACCTCCCAGGGTTGGTTGTTGTCCAGAGTGGTTTAGGAAGGAACTAAGCAATAAGCTTTCGCTTCACTTGCACACAGCTATCGATCGCCATTATTTCTGAGGAACGCTCACAAAGAAAATGAAACTGCAAGTGCTAATGTTGTATGGGAGATCCAGGAGCAGGCAAAGGAATTATCTGGAAAACGCACGATAACAGATGGCAGGTTGGGAGAAAAGTGTAAAGTGAGGTGAGATGTCTTGCCTGTCCTCGTTCAGAGGTATTCCAGCCTCCAAGACACATGGGACAAGTTGGACAGATTTCAGCAGGGGCAGACGCAGGCGCCCTAGGCTGCAGTCGCTGCTGAGTGACTCCTCCCAAGGGTCAGGCGAGGAGAAGGAGAGAGAGGTGAGGTGTGTCCTTTTGTTTTTCCATCTGTCCTTAATGCCCCTCTCCTACAAAGAGGGGGGACTGAACAGAGCTGTTCTGCCCTTTGAATCACCTTGGCAACCTGAAGGCCTTTTCTCTTCCAGGAAATTGTAAACAAAACAAATTCCCCAAGCTGGCACTCTTCTCTGTTTTCCTTCTCCAGAAGCTGGTACTTTCCAAGAAAAATGTCTCTTGACTGCTTTCAACTGTATTCCAGATCTCTTCAAAATACATTGAGTAATATATGAATGACTCTAGAAAAAAAAAATATATATATATATGTAAAAGCCCCTTATCTATCTATGTGTTCAGGTTAGCAGGCTTCTTGTGACAGGCAGGCACAGCACACAAATAAGTGATGGAGTTATAGCCAAGTCATGCAGAACAGAGGCTAGGCGGAAAGAGGAAAGGGATGTAAGAGGTCATGTGAGAGAAAGAGAAAGATCTGCTTTCCAGCTACGTGACCAAGGTCCTTGAGGGAGCCCTCTGCCTGAGACACCCGAGATACAGTGTTCTGTGGTCAGCACCTTGAATTTATCAGTTTGTTCTATAAGTCAAGTCAGATTAGGCAATGGAGCCTGCCTACACAAAATTCTAACCCTCAGACTCCTGTGTCAGGAGCCCAACTCTTGCCCAGTCTCTGCCGCTGCCCTCTGCTCTGGCGGTGGGGGTAGCAGGTGGGGGTGGGGCTTTCCCTGGAGGGAGTTGGGTGGGATGGGGTGCTTTCTCTGTTCTGTGGGAGGGAAAAGCTCAGCATGTGCCCTGTTACAGGATAGATCCTGGGCACCTGGGAGGATCTGGAGGTGTGGTAGAAATCTCCAACCCAAGGAGTAACTCCAAGTCACCATGCCAAACTGAGGAACAGGCCTTCCCTCTGCAGCCTAGTGTAATGACACAAGGCTCCTCCTCCTCATTGTGTTAATGTTGAATTTAAGTGTACAAGCGTCCTCATGGCCACCTTGTCCAGTGACACGAGGAAGTCAATGAGCAGATCTAGTGAGCAATTTGTCGTCTAGGTGACCCATCTGTCAGGCTAGCTCTGACGTCAGTTGACGTTGGTCATCAAGTCCACCATCAGTCCACCAGGTGTGGGAGACGTGAGCCCTGACTGGAAACCAAACTCCTGGCAAAGAATTGAGATAAATGGAAATTTGTTGAAGAAATTAAACACAAATTATAGGTAGCATTGTTTGGGATTTGGTTTCTGTACTGACCCCAACAGAGCAGACGAAAAGTCAAAATGAGTCACCACACTTAAGCTCCATGTCACTAAAGCCAAGCTTTGAACTTCCGAGAAGCCAGGAGACAGACAGACAGACAGACAGACAGGCACACACACACACACATACACACACACACACACACACACACACACACACACACACACACACACGGGGGGGGGGAATAGAAGAGAAAAGAGAGAGGTCATAGCAAAGTTCTCCACTTGTGGTTTGCCACATGATCATGAAGTTCACTCCTTTTTAACTTTTTATCCTTCCAAGCCTGCTTCACCCATCACAAAACTGTAAACTTACTTAAAACATTGTGAGAACTTTTTTTTTTTTTTGCAAATTTTTTTGGGGATGGATAATTTATGTCGTTCTAGAGTGTGAACTTACGATAACGTAGTCATGCTGGAGAGTCAAAGGGCTGGACATGCCTACAGGTACTCGGCAAGCTGATGTGAACTAAGGGTCTCTCAGTCCTCATCTTCTAGGGAAATGACCACTCTTTTTTTCTTCTTTGTTTCTATTTTTTTTCCTTTAGCCATCCTCCATCTTTCAAAGCATCCCCCCCCCCCCCCATCTCTCTCTCACCACACATGCACAGGGTTGTTCATGATAGGCTTTCTCTGGCTCCTTTTTCAGAGTGGAAATAGAGTTCTGTGCTCCATCATTCTGAGTCATCATCAGGGACCGTCCATTATCAACTGTGACGACGAGAGTGGAAAGACCTGTGTCCATATCGCAGCAGCTTCGGGTTTCGGCGACATTATTACCGATCTGGCAAAAGTCCCTGAGTGTAACCTGCAGGCTCTGGATATGGATGACAGGTATCCATGGCAACTCAGAGAGTGTTGGGAACCACTAGTCATCTTCCCCTAATGTCAATCTTAAAATAAAGACATCGAAGGCGCCATCCTCTCTGCCTATATCCTTACTGCTGGTAACACGCCTCGGTCTATTTAGTAAGAGGAGGAAAAATCATTGCTGTGAACAGAAGTCATGACTACGTACTGTCAGAGTTTCCACTTTTTGCTGAATATCTGTAGTGTTCTCAGAAGGCTTTCTATTGAACTGACTAATGAAGTTTGTATTTCCTTCTTCTCTCCTGAGTTATACCATATGCCCACAATTTCCTATCCAGAGTGTGAGATAAGGGACGAGGAGCCCTTTAATTCAAAACCATGGGCCTGACTAATGAGGCTTTTTTTTTTTTCAGTCATTGATGATATATTGGCTGGAAAAGGAAACTGGGTCCAGAAAGGGAAAATGATTTGTCTCAGGGGTCATTAGTACCGGAGTAAAGGACTGCACCTGCGTCTTATAAATGTAGCGCTCATCACCTCCGATGAGGTGCTTACTAACCTTTGTTTAGTTTAGGCACTGAGTCTCGGGAAATGCAAGAAAAAAAATAACAATTAGCAAAACTGTTGAAAATAAGTGTACGAATTACAAACTATCTGAGTGTGTGTATTCACCATTTTCTGTTAAAGTGAGAACTGAGAGCATGACAATCTTAGAAGTCCCATAAGAGTATCCCCCACCATATTTGAAATTCTTTCAGTGTGTGTGTGTGGGTGGTGGTAGGGGGGGTGTCTTGTCTTCCACATGGGTCTTGGGAGCTGGAGGTGGCTAACCTGATGATTTTAATTAAAATTGAAGGATGCTTTTTCCTAAGAGCAGGCGTTGACCCTGAGAAGGTAAGAAAGGGGATTTGGGGCTAGAATTCTTGTAAAAGAGCCATAAAGAGAACGGGATACATTGTAGCATTAAGAGATAAAAGGAAGTCTACCTAATTCAAAAAGCAGCTTCTGTAGAAGCAGCTCCCCATTTTGCAGGACCACACATTTAACAAAGAAAATCGTGAGCTTTTTCGTGAGCTTCAGGGAAGGAAACAAACCCAGAGAGGAGAATCAATACAGAACATTAGGCCGGAGGAAAAGGGAAGTGTAGTTTCTAGGAGCTCCCCCCTGAACCTCCCCCCCTCACCCCCAAACTGCTGGGTAAGCCATTCCTGCACCTCTGTCCTGTATTCTCATGTTGAACATGAAGCTCTGGCTTTTCCGTGAAACGGTGAGTTTCTGTTAGTAATTGAACTGTTCAAAATCATCACAGGCTTAGAGGCATCTCCATCTCTGTGACTTCTGTCCTTCTTTTTCCTTTCCTTTCCTTTTTCCAAAGGAAGATTTTGTGGGAAGAGAAGAAAAATAAGATTCCCAATGAGAGGTGTGCTGGTGGGGGAGGGGTGTGGAGAACTAGCCTGCCTGTTAGCGTACGCCAGAAAACAGGCAAGGTGGTGCACCCTGGAACCATAGCCCCAGGAGGCTGAGCTAGGAGATTTACAAGTTACAGGCTAACATGGGCTACAGCATGGGCTATGGAATGAGACTGTCTCAAAAACACCCCATTTTTTTAAATGGCCAGCAGGATGGCTCGGGAGATAAAGGCACTCGTTACCACGTCAGATAAACTGAGTCCTATAATATATATATATATGAAGGAGGGAACTAACTCCCACAAAGTTATCCTCTGGTCTCCATACAAGTGCCATGGTACACAAGCATGCACAGACACATCCACACACACTAAACAAATGTAGGGAAAAAACTAAGTCACATAATACATCTACGGTATTTTAAATATCATGGTACTCACCTAAGACTAAGGCCAAGTCACAAATAACACAGAAGCAGCCTCCATGTTTTAAATGTCCCAAATTTCATCAGTCTATGAGGTCATAATTCACTTCCATAAACAACCCATTTCTCTTCAGGGAGGACAGTCTATTATTGGATTCTCCTCCCTGCATATTTCTGGCAATTCTCCTGAGATGTTTACAGGCTTCACAAATCAACCCTTAGGTACTGACAGCTGGAGCAGCCCTGTACCCTTCCACCCATCATCCCTCACCACGCAGGGACCCCCTCATCACCCAGTGCTGGCCTCTGCTCAGTCCCAGAGGTCCTGACCTTCCACTCCTCATTGTGATGGCCGAGGCCAGCTTGTAGGATCATCCTGCAGCCTTGAGATAGGAAAGAAACTGTAGCTCAGACAACACAGCATCTATGTCACAAATTAGCCTCAGTGTGCAAGTCAGAGGCTGTCACTGTGCTCCCTTGTTTCTCTGTACCCCTCCCACGATGGCCAGAGGAATTAAAACAGCTGGTCTTAGCAAGTGTGAGGCCAGGTTTATTTCACAAACCTTCAAAGTGAATTGTTGCATGTTGGTAAGCCTCCATCAGCTGAATTCACTGGCAATTTTCCTCTAAATGGAGAGAACAATCTGCTGTTGCCTCATCCTGTAAAATATTGTCTAGAGAGCTCTTTTATGAAATGAAACAAATCTTACCTGTAACATCCAGATACAGTGTGATAGATGACAGCACATTCAGATACACGGTGTGATAGGTCACTGCACATTCAGATACACAGTGTGATAGGTCACTGCACATTCAGATACAGTGTGATAGGTCACTGCACATTTAGACACAGTGTGATAGGTCACTGCACATTCAGACACACAGTGTGATAGGTCACTGCACATTCAGACACACAGTGTGATAGGTCACTGCACATTCAGACACACAGTGTGATAGGTCACTGCACATTCAGACACACAGTGTGATAGGTCACTGCACATTCAGATACACAGTGTGATAGGTCACTGCATATTCAGACATAGTGTGATAGGTCACTGCACATTCAGATACACAATGTGATAGGTCACTGCACATTCAGATACACAGTGTGATAGGTCACTGCACATTCAGATACACAGTGTGATAGGTCACTGCACATTCAGATACACAGTGTGATAGGTCACTGCACATTCAGATACACAGTGTGATAGGTCACTGCACATTCAGATACACAGTGTGATAGGTCACTGTATTGATGATACATTGCCCTCTAAGGTTTCATACTGTGGAGATGGGGGTTAACACACAGAGAACACAATCTGAGTGTAAGGACCAAAGGACCACACAACGTATCTAGACACTCTCTACATACTTGGGTCCAAGGCCCTTCTCTGCCCACCTCCAGGTGCTCCCATGCCTGAGGGTTGATTATTTGGCTCTCTCCTGAATGCCCTTCTGCCAAGAGCCCAGGTCCTAGAACAAGGCCCAGGAGAGGCCTGCCATCCTGTGCCCTTCCTTACTGCCCCAGGACTGCTTCCTTTCCTGACTGAGAAACAGGAAGCTTGGTAATTTTCTGCAAGGGAGACCTCATTCGTAGGAATGACACCACATTGCCTTCCTAATCCCAGTTCTTAGGGGAGTGGGGGGAGAAATCAGAACCTGATAGTGTGACATTTCATCAACCAAAATATGGCCTATCCAATCTTGGCTAAAACTAGTAGATTCAGGTGTCTGGTCCCTTTACACGGTATTTTCCAGAAGCCTAATGTCCATGGCTACTCATCACCGCTGCCTAAGGGCCACGGCTACTCATCACCTCTGATCTGATAGACATTTCCAAGCAATTACAAGTCTACAACATCCAAAACCACATGAGCACAGGACAACACATAGCTACAGCTAAGGAAGAAGTATTTATTTACAGTGAATATACTCTGTCTGCAGTGTATACAGAGATACGATGCTCTCACCACCGCCCCTCAACCAAGGTTAACTCTGTATACACATTAGCTAAGCTGGAGACTCAAACTTCTGCTTTGGATAAAAAGCTCTGATGCACACTGGAGCACTTAAAGACCTCCTGGAACAGGGTTATCAAAATGAACTATCCAAATTCTTGCTTCTCATGGAGCTTTGAAAAAAAAAATCACAGTACACTGTTACCCAGAACAGTTTTGTCCATGATGTAATAAAGAGCGTGATATTGTCAAATCATCCTTTCAGTAATCATTTGATGGTGACCCTTAAGGAGGTTAGGAGTTGCAGTGTGTGCTGTAGGTACAACACAGTGAGTGAAATGCTCTCATTTTTTCTTAAATGTATGTAAAGTGAATCCAAGGGGAAGAGTGGAATATTCACTATGTCAAGTAGCAATGCTTTGTCACAACCAAGGTTTTTAGACATTATCACAATTTTTATTATCTATAATTTAATCATTTTTCCCAGTATGGAAAGCTAGAATTGAACCTAGGCCCTCACTAAGCTAGGCAAGCATGCTACCATGGAGCTATCACACTAGCCCTATGGTTTCTCAATTTTATCATCTATTTAGACTCGTAGAAAATGTACTACCTCCATCTCTTTTGGCTGATTATACAATTTTTTTTTTTTTTTTTTGGTTTTTCGAGACAGGGTTTCTCTGTGTAGCTTTGCGCCTTTTCCTGGAACTCGCTTTGGAGACCAGGCTGGCCTCGAACTCACAGAGATCCGCCTGCCTCTGCCTCCCGAGTGCTGGGATTAAAGGCGTGCGCCACCACCGCCCGGCTTGATTATACAATTTTTACAATACCAAAATATTTAAGAACAGAGGTTGGAGATGGCCCTCTTGATGCTTGTCTGTGTCCTCTCGGGTCTGATAAGCCTCCACTCTCTCTGAGCTGTACTTTGGGAGCATGGCGATCTTAGGCTACAGGTCATCTTGGCTTGTCACGTGACTCGGACATTACAGGGCCCACCCTCCCAGTAGTTCTACCAAAGAAGCTGAGCTCTGGTGCCTATTGTTGTTTAGCCTAGTAGTCCCTTGTGTTCCTTTTTTGTTTGTTTGTTTGTGTTTGTTTTTGTTTTTCAAGACAGGGTTTCTCTGTGTAGCTTTGTGCCTTTCCTGGAACTCACTCAGTAGCCCAGGCTGGCCTCAAACTCACAGAGCTGCGCCTGGCTCTGCCTCCCAAGTGCTCGCTGGTATTAAAGGTGTGCGCCACCACCGCCCAGAGTCCCTTGTGTTCTTAACAACCTCTTTTAATGGTGCTGGGGTTCAAATCCAGTGCCTGGCACATGCTAGGCAATGTTCTACTACTCTACTACGGAGTGACATTCTCAGGCCTTTAGCGCCCTATGTCACATCTGCCTTGACATCTGAGGGAGAATTCTCTGTCCAGGGTTGGGGAGGCCAACTTCCTTTCCATGAGCTGTTAAATACGTTGCCTTTCCATCGGATCTGTCCCCAGTTCTAAGCCTGGCTTTTGGATACAGGAAAACATGATTTATCATATTTACCCTGCCACACCTCTCCTCTAAGATTAAGTACAAAGTCAACCATGCCTTTAAAGAGAGGACAGAAGACAAGCAGAAAAAAATATACAGTCATATTAGTAAACGGTGTTGAGAAAAGCGTGCCATGTATTAGAAAAACACATACCCAGAGATAAGAACTTACTCTATAACCTAGGCTGGCCTCAAATTTGTAAGCCTCCTGCCTCAGCTTCCTGGATGCTGAAATTATAAATGTGAGCACCATGCCAAACCACATTTCTTATTTTTAATCCAAATACTGACTTTCTTTTTAGTCTATATCCACTAAAAACTTCCTTTTGTGTGTGTGCATGTATAGATTATATGCCAACACAAACAAAATTCCTAACAGTGCCATTGACTCCAACATCACCTCATGTTGCCTTGTGATAGTGGAACACACTCCCATGCTAAGCCCTGGCAACCACAGATTAGCTCTCTCTATAGTTTCTTCTTTTCAGAATGTCACAGAGATGTGACTGTGGGTTGCACGTCCCTTAGCCACCACACTATGATGGGAAGTGTTTCAGACTTCTGAATTGTGGGGACTTGGGAAGACTTCCATATGTGTAACAAGACATCTTGAAAGGAAACCAAATCTAAGCACAAAGTGTGTTTAAACACGCAGCCTGGAAGTAATTCTATAAAACATGTTGAGTGCCCTTGTACTTCGGCCCTGACTTGTCATACAGGGCCAGATATAGAACTTTCCGTTTGTAACATCCAACATGTCAGTGCTCAGAGAACTTCAGGTTTCAGATTTTTAGAAGAGGGGAGGTCACTATGGGACCCTTTGAGAGTGGCTGGTGTCACTTGGCAGAATGCACTTGAGGTTCAGCTCTGCTGTCGCACTGTGGTGGCCCTGTTGCTGACGTCACTGAGGCATAGTCCACAGTGTAGAGGAACCACTGTTTACCCATTGACCCCTGGGAGGATGGTGGTTTGCTTCCATTTGGGGAAGTTATGATCAGTTGCTATAAACATTTGAGAGCAGGCATTTATGTTAATGTAAGTTCTCATTTCTCTACCTAGATATCTAGAAGTGGGATTCCCAGGTCACATAGTCAGGATATATTTAATCCTGTAAAACTCCCACTAAGATCGTAGGCAAATTCCAGGTCTTCTACATTTTTTGCCAGCATCAACTATTATCAAGCTTGGTTGGGTTTTGCCTTATTTGAATAATTTTTACAGGCATGTGGGATCTCCTTGCCATTTTAATTTGCATTTCTCCAATGACAATTTTGTTGGTGGTGATGCAGGGTCTCACTTTGTAGGGCAGACTGGCCTGGAATTCACTCTGTAGCCCAGGCTGGACTCAAACTCACAGAGATCCTTGTCCTTAACCTCCTGGGCACTAGGACTTCAGGTGTGTGCCGCCACGCTGGCTTGACAAGTAGTTTTGAGCCTGTGGCACCTCGTCCTGAGTGTCTTGCCACCCACACATCTTTTTTGATGAAATGGCTATTGGATCCTTTGCTATTTTTCAAGTGAGTCTGTCTTCTTATTGTTCACAACTGGAAAATATTATGTATTTTAATTATAAGCCTTTTGTTGAACGTGTGGTTTGTAAATGTTTCTTCCTGTTTTCTGATTCCTCTTTATTGTATTCAGAAAACACTGGTTTTACAATTCAACAAATGGTTAAGTATTGGCGAATATCTGTCTTCTGGTTAAGAAAGGACTTTCTGGCTGGGCGGTGGTGGCGCACGCCTTTAATCCCAGCACTCGGGAGGCAGAGCCAGGCGGATCTCTGTGAGTTCGAGGCCAGCCTGGGCTACCAAGTGAGTCCCAGGAAAGGCGCAAAGCTACACAGAGAAACCCTGTCTCGAAAAAACAAAAAAAAAAAAAAAAAAGAAAGGACTTTCTGAACACGAAAGAGATAAAATGAAATGTAATTGAATGTGAATGCTTTCCATTTTTTTATAGAAAATCACTAAAAATTTAAAGATTGAATAAAAAAAAATTTTGAAGTTTGTATAGATGAGCTATAAATGGTCAGTGTCTTTAGTATGCAAAGAGCCCATTCAAATAAGTAAGAAAAACCAGTAATATTATAATAGAAAAATAGACAATAGAAACTGGTATAGTGGCACATGCCTATAATCCCCACCCTTGGGAAGCTGAGGCAGAAAGAGTATATATTCAAGGTTATTCCTTGTTATACAGTGAGAATCTACCTTTAAAATAGAAAAGCAAAAAAAAAAAAAAGCATTAAGAGTGATTTCAATGAAGAAATTCAAATTGCAAATTTAACCTTACTAGTAAGTAAAGAAACCCAAAGGAAAACATCAAAGTATCATTTTGCCAACTAAATTAACAACGATTTAAAAGATGGTGATATACTCAGTGTTCAAGAAGGAGTATGGACTCAGCTGTAAGAGGGTAAACTGAGTCAACGATCCTGGAAGGCAGGTGGCACTGTGTACAGAGAGCTTTAAAAACCACTCATACTTCATCTTCTAGGAAATTCTCAGGAAGGGCAGAGATGGGAGAGCAGACAGAATGCACAGAGGTGGGGGGAAGCGTCTTACGTACCCTAGACTCCTATGCCGGGTTCACACACACCATTTCATACTGTGGATAGCAGTGTCCTCCTTCAGCCTGACTCTGGGTAGAAGCCGACCGTGGCTAAGCTGCCTGTAAGGTTCTGATTGAGCTCCTTGTGTTTCTCCTGCGGTATTCCTCCAGGACACCCCTGCACTGGGCTGCAGCTGCCGGGAAAGCAGAGTGCGTCCAGTCACTGCTGGACTTGGGCATGGACAGCAACCTGAGGGACATCAACGAGAGCACGCCCCTGGCCTACGCTCTGTACTGCGGCCACACAGCCTGCGTCAGGCTCCTCTCCCAAGGAGGCCGGTGAGTTTATCTCCTGTCTTCCTCTCAAGGATGTATGACATTAACATTTCTCCAAACCACCATCATGCAAACCCAGCAATAACAACATTGCCTCTCTCTCTCTCTCTCTCTCTCTCTCTCTCTCTGTGTGTGTGTGTGTGTGTGTGTGTGTGTGTGTGTGTGTGTGCATGTGTGTACATGTGTGAACATGTGGAGGTCAGAGAAGAGTCTTCAGAAGTTTCTCTCCTTCCATCATGTGAGGTCCAGGGCTGGAACACAGGTCATTAGGCTTGGTGACAGGCATTTTTATCCACTGATCCATCTAGTGGTCACAGTGATTTAATAATATCAGAATTATGTAATATAAGTAACATTTTTAATTATCTAATTAATTGTGTGTGTTAGCTGTCATCTAACATAGAGTGAAATGGTCTCCATTATGTGGAACAGGAAAGTCACAAGCTTGAATCCATCAGTTACGGCACATAGGACTTGAACCTCATCTTTCCATTCTTCTTCCTCCTTCTGCCTAGATCACTTTTTCTCGAGACACTTACACACTCTCAAAACTTTCTGAAGATGCCAAAAAAGCTTTTTAAAAATCTGAGTTACAGCCATCATATTGCGGTGTCAAAATATTTCATTAAGAAAATTGTAATAAAATATTTGCTCTGTTCATTTAAGTAGTAAGTTTGTGTTCGCTGCATGTTAGAATAAAAAAACATATTTTAATTAAAAACAATATTGTAGCTGTAATCCCGGGGTTCTGGAAGCAAAAGCAGGAGGGTCATGAGTTTGAGGCTAGTCTGGGCTGTGTAAGGAGACACTGTTGATAAATGAATAAACAAATAACTGTTAACTTCATTTAAGGTAGCTATTTTCCAAAACAAGGAAAATAATAAGAGCAGCACTTTTTTCCATTCTCGGTAAACTTCTCTCTCTCTCTCTCTCTCTCTCTCTCTCTCTCTCTCTCTCTCTCTCTCTCTCTCATTAGACAATTAAGCCATCTTTGATTGAATTTTGCACTGTGGTATAGAAATTTCATCCGGTCAAAGCCCAACACCAATGAAGAGAGAAATTACTGGCACCAAGATTTTCCCTCTTCTTCTCCTCACACTAGGACTGATTACCAATCAATTGGCAGGTTACATGTCCCTCTAGGCTCTGTTCCATGCAAATCCACACAAGCTTTCCACATCAGAAGTCTTAATCCTACTGGGGTGGGGAGGGGGATCAAACCTCAAGGCAACAAAAGGCCGTCAGATCTACTGGGTTACTGTCCGAGAACAAAATTCGGTTTCAGCACTGTTCCTCCAAACAGAGCACGTCAGTCATTAGGTGCTGCACCCACTGCAGACTGAGACTGATAAAGCTGACAGACAGCTGCCTCAACCAATCATTCAATCAGCGTGCTTTAAAGTCAAGAAACTGTCTCACCCACCGGATTTCAAACCAAGAAAACTAGGGAGTATTCTTAAATGCACTAAAAAGTCGTTTATAAACCCATAAGCAACAAAATACCACTGCACCAGTCCAGAAACTATTATGAAAAAAAAAAAAGTGAAGGCAATAAATACAAAGTTTAGTCAGCTTTTCTCTTCTCTCGGTTGCTTATATAATACCACTAATACGATACAAACTCTTGAAAGCCTTGATTTCTTGTCCAGGCTCATTAAGTATCTCTAGACTCTCTTGTGTTGTTTCATCATTCGTACATTCTGCTACACAGCTGCCGGAGTAACGTGGGGAGTTCCCATTCTGGGGGGGACTCATTGATCATGTGATTGCCATGGTGAAAGGGAGATAAAAATATATTAATAATTTAAAAGTATAAATGGCTATATAGTCCTATAAATATGTATGTGTGTATGTATGGACAAAGACAGTGAGAAAACATGGTGGTGAAACTGTTTTCATAGTGAGAAAACATCCATTGTCGGCATCCAAATTTAGTGCCGATGTTTTTCAAACAGACTACAGTATCTCATTCCGAAGAGTAATATTGCAGTCCCCCGCTTGGCAGCCCGCACATGGGTCCAGTTTTGAGGTTGATCCCTAACGCAGAAAGCATGGACTTGACCGGGGGCCTCAAAAGAGAATAGCACAGACTTTCCAAAGAACTGGAACAGAACAACGCCTCGGGGAAACTCAGCTTGAGCAAGCCCGCCAAACAGCTGCCGCTAACCTTTTTTCAGTTGAGTTTGCTTGTGAGTGGAGTATTGCTCACATCTGCCACACCCAACCTCTGGCACACATGACTTCCTCTTCCACTGGAACTCAAACTCAATCTAATTCTTCTCTGCCTGTTTCCTTTAGCAGAGTGTTTTTCATAACTCTATTTAGGGTTTTTTTTTTTTAAGATGTGAAAGAATTGCAAAGAACAAACTATAAAAATGTGCAAGATGCTGGATGCATAATGTCAGTGCTGCTGGACCCCCTGGGATCTCTCACTCAGAGCAGACAGTTATCTCTGCAGCTCCCCTCCTCCTCCTGCCCTGTGAGGCCGAACTCACACCTTATTCTTCCTCTCTAATGCCTCTGTCACTGAGATGAGAGAGCGGGAATGCTTTAAGCTATTTCCAGCATAACCGATTGATAACTGAAAACAGATTGCCGTGAGGTCATTGAAAGGCCAGCCTCTGGAGCCTCGGGGATGGTTCAGCCAGTAAATGCTTGCACAACAAGCCTGAGGACCTGATTTTGATCCCCAGCACCCATGTACAAGCCAGGCATAGTAGCCCCCAGCTGTAATCCCAGCGCTGGGGAAATAGAGACGAGGGGGTGTTTGTGGCTCGCTGGCCAGCTAACCCAGCTGAATAAGCAAGCTCCAGATTCAGTGAGGCCCCATCTCAAGTAATCATCATCATAATAATGTTGGTCCAGAGACATGGTTCAGCAGGCAAAGGGGCTTGCCGTGCAAGCTTATGCCTGAGTTCTATCCTTGGAGCCCACAGAAAGGTCAAAGGAGAGAACCAGATTCACAGAGTTGCCCTCTGACCTCCACAGACATGCCCTGGCATGCAAGCACCAGCACTTAGGCACACCATACAGCGTCAACACAAAAACACAAATCTCTCCTCAAAAGGGGTCAGAGATGGTTTATTCTGGAGCCAAACATGGATGGTCAGTGGCCTAGCAACATAGACTTGGGTTACTTCAACGTTCATGTTCCAAGATGAAGTTTTTATAGAAACAGAAGAAGGACAGTTGTGAATCAAGAAACCTTCCAGATACATTGATGGAAACATTGGGTGGTCAGCTTAGAACAGAGCGGGGAAATTTCTGCCCTGGGTCTCTGGTACTCTCTGACATTCTTAGCCTTTTGGTTGATGGGGGCTAAGTATCAGCTTGTTCACTCCTAAGGACTTACCTGATGGTCCCCAACAGAGGAGGGCAATGCATGGCTATTAAGAAGACTGAAAATAACCTGGGATAAGCTGACTCTGGATTTGTAACACTCCTGAAGCTTTAATTAGTTCATTGCAGAAGCATCAGTGGGGGATGCAGCCTCTTTCAGAGAACTGTCATTCACAACAATAATAAATAATTGTTAAAGATTAAATAAGTAAGGTTGACAGGCACACGCATCAACCTCTGGCCTCCACAGGTAGGGAGAAGGGGAAGGAGGGGGGAGGAGGAGGGGAAGAGGGAGGGAGAGGGGAGAGGGAGAAAAGAGAAAATAGCCCCTGTGGAACTTAATGCAGAGACCCATCAAGTGGCCAAAGAGCCAAACATAAGCAAAAATGGAGTGCAGAGTCCTGAATAGGATGGCTGTGCCACACCCACCAAGGCTCAGGGAACATCACAAAGAGAGGAAACGGAAGAGCCAGGGGCTGGAAAAGATACGCAGCAGAAAGATGTCTTCTGGACATCACGCAGCATTGCACTCGCGAACTCACTGCTCCTGTGGTCATCTGCATAAGACCTGTGCAAGACTGGGCCTGTCCACAAATTTCATCATGAATGGGGGTGGGGGGTCCTCCCTAGGGAATTCTCTGCTAAGGGGATAGGATGTCGTTTTCTCCAGCAGTGTAACCATGATACGTTGCTTACGTCCCAGTAAAAACTTCCCTCCCACACTCATGCAAGAAGCCCTAGCTAACCTCAGTGGGAGTGCCGGAAAGGAAAAAGGTTTCAGCAGGAGAGGGAGGGGGATGAGAGGGAGGGGAGCTGGGATGAAAGGACCAAAATGTACTACACGCATGTATAGCACTCATTACATACATGTACAATACCGTCAAAGGGCAACAAAATGGGGAAGGAGAAGAGACTCTAACCCCTGAGGAATGAAGAGACGTGGGTAGCACATGCCCATAAGCACAGCACTCAGGAGGCTGAAGCAAAAAGATTATGGGGTTGAAGCTACATTATGTAGAGAGTCCCCATCTCAGAGAGAGGAGAGGTGTTGAGGTACCATCTCTGTAAGGAGTTAACAGAAGGTGGGGTCCTTGAGCAAAACCTTGACTTGAAGACTGCAGGGCTCTGGGCATGAGCCCAGATGAGCTTATGAAGCAGATGGAATGGGGTTTGGGGGTGTCAGTATCTTATTCTTTCCCCTGTTTCCTGCCCTCGCATGGCACTCTCGTTCTTTTCTGTCCCTCTAGAGCAGGACCTGCTCGGCCTCTTCCTTCCCAGAACAGTCGACCCCAAAAGAAGGAAGGACGATTCAGCATGCTCAACCAAATCTTCTGCAAACACAAGAAAGAAGAGCAGAAAGCCAATCACCAGAACCACAGCAGGGACAGACATAAGGAGGACGACACCTCGGAAGTCAATGACATCATCACCACCTTTGACAGCGTCGTCGTGGATACCAACTGCCAAGATCAGCCTGGCGACCAGGTGGCTATGGTTGTCTTTAAGAAGAAGACCTCAGAGAATTCAAAGTATCTCTTGCCAGAAAGGAAACCTCTGGCCCGGAAGGGGCTCCCACCAATCAGAACACAGAGTCTCCCACCCATCACCCTGGGCCAAAATCTCCTGACAGCCTCCCATGGAGCCACTTCCCACACTGGCCTGAGCTCTGGTCCTCAGCATCCTTCTCAACGTTCTCAGAAAAGTCGGAGTGAACAGGACTTACTAAATAATAGGACTGGCTGCCAGATGTCACTAGACAATCCCTTGAAGGGGGACACTAATCAATCACTCTCCTCCAAGGCTTGGACCGTGTCTTCTTCCGATAAGTTACTAGACAGGCTATTTGCTGGCCAGCCTGGTCACCAGGAGCCCTCTGGGCCACCTCATCTTCCTCATCTACATAATCCCTCACCAGGTAAACGGCCTTACGTCCTTCTTCTCTTTCCTAAAGTCCTCCCTCATGCATGGAGTGTCTCTTGTAGAGTTAAGCTAGTAACTGCCACATGAGTAGCCTGCAGGCAAGGGCAATCACATAGTAACTACGGTCACTTTTATTTTTTTCCTGGACAAAATAAAAGTTTGAAGATTTCTGGGAAGTAAAAGCTTTCAGCTTTTCCACCCTGAGTGTGCTGAGGTAAAAGTGTGCTGTTCTCGAAAAACAGCAACAGAAACAAAAAGAGTATTGCTGTTTCCTCTAAAAGTGATTATTGAAGTTCTGTGGCACTCTCATTCCCTAGATGCTAATTTTCTTGTACAGTTAGTTGTGTGTTTTAAATCATCATTCAGTCTCCACCCGAGATCTATCCCACCAACGCCTATGGTGAGAAAAAACGGTAATACCTTATTTGGACCTGTGTAGAAAAAAATGTGACATATTCGCACATTAATGGTTTATACTCCCCACACACTAAAGGCTTGCATGGCTCTTCTCCCTCTCCCCTCACCCAAAGCTACCAATGTCGTTCAATTTTTTAGCTTATGCTTCCAGACACATTCTACACATTTGGGTATAGGCCTATACTTATAAACATGAGATCTCTCTTTCCTCTTCTCGTATTCCTGCTCCTGACAGCTGAGGAGTCTCAGCTTTTCTGTCCTGCTGTTTTGCTCTCAAACTCAAATAACCTTGTCCCGAGCTTTAAACATAATTTCTGCAAATAAACAGGAACTCTGTACATATCCCCTTGTAATAATTATCATAGTGAAGAACTTAAGTTTTGGGGAGGATGTTGGCTCACACTTTTAATCAGGAGGCAGAAGTGGGTGGATCTCTGTGAGTACATCAAGCCCAGCCTGGTCTACATAGTGAGCTTCTGAACAGCCACACCTACATAGTGAGGCCCTTTCTCAAAAAAAAAAAAAAAAACAAAAAAAAAAAAAAAAAAAAAAAACCTTGCATTTTATATACATACAAATATTACATATTAAAAGATATTAATATTCTATCATTATAAATAAAGCATCACACTAAGCAATTCATTTTGCTGTTTGTTTTTTGAGAGGGTTAGCACTGGACTTACTATGTAGCCAAAGATAACCTTGACTCCTAGTCTTCTGCTTTCACCCTCCACGTGCTGGATTATAAGTTTATGTCTTCTTGTCTAGCTCTTATTTTTACTTTAAAAAAAGTGAGCCAGCCGGGCGGTGGTGGCGCACGCCTTTAATCCCAGCACTCGGGAGGCAGAGCCAGGCGGATCTCTGTGAGTTCGAGGCCAGCCTGGGCTACCAAGTGAGTCCCAGGAAAGGCGCAAAGCTACACAGAGAAACCCTGTCTTGAAAAACCAAAAAAAAAAAAAAAGTGAGCCGGGTGGTGGTGGCGCACGCCTTTAATCCCAGCACTCAGGAGGCAGAGGCAGGCGGATCTTTGTGCGTTCGAGGCCAGCCTGGTCTACAGAGCGAGATCCAGGAACAGTGCAAAGCTACACAGAGAAACCCTGTCTCGAAAAACAAAAACAAAACAACAACAACAAAAAAACAAATAAAAAAAGTGATTCATAAGGGATTCTGAGCCCCTCTAAGGCTGTAAAACAGCTCCCTAATTCTGCTCACTGCTGCTCACATAGTACCTTGGTTTGCTTTTAAATAAATCAATAGCCAATACTTAAAACATGACATTTTATATAAAAATCTACAGAAAGAGTCTAACTTTCTCTTGAGAAATCGAAGCCAACATTCTCATGTGACAATAACTGATTAGCTCTGAGGCATCACGGTACTCACTTCTGCTTGCATCTCACTGGCCAGAACTGGGGTCACATGCTCACACCTATCTACAAAGAGGGTTGGGAACTGGAGGCTTTATAGCTAGGTGCCTTGTTCCAACCTCCAAATCAGAGTTCTGCTTCTAAAGGAGAAGGAAGAGAGTAGACATTGGGAAGGGAACTAATGGAGACTGCCTGGCATATCATCCAAAGCATCTACATCATGTGAGCAAAAGAACGTTAAATACAATTGCTCTAAGATTTGCTTAGGCTCCAGAGAAGTAACCAGTGAAGTCCTGGGGCGGCAGAACTATGAAAAGAAGTGAAAGTCAGTAAGAGATTCTGAGGACGTAAACAGTGCTTATAGGAACACATTTGTTTTTATTTTAGCCAATACTTATTAATGCTAGTTATAGCTAGGAGCCATTCAAGGACACTGAGTCATGGTAACACAAATCTCCTAAGAGTCTTTAGCCCATAAATGAGCTTCAAGGGAGACAACTGCTGGATGATTATGCAATTGAACTTGGGGCCTCCTGAATGCAAGCAAGCACCCCATCCCATCCCCAGCATAACACTGAGGGATATGAGCTAACTTTATGGATGGGCCTGGAAAAGGAGAGAAAGAACAGGGATGAAAGTTGAGATCCAGTCTCTAAGGGCACAGCTGGCTCTAAGGATTCACTCCCTTGAATTCCATCTGACCGCCTCAGTTCCTATCACATCCTTGTAGCATGTTGGACTGTGAATCTTCAGTGGCCTGATCACTGCACATTGCTGCACGGAGAGCCACGTCTTCCACACATGAGCCTTTCTGTACTACAGTGTCAAAGGACCATCAAGACACAGGAGTTGCGACATGTTTGTGTTATAAGGCCCTTCCTTGTCATAATTCACATCACCTAGAAAAAGCTAAATGATTTGCTCAATGATATTCCAGTCCACTGATGACTTGAGTCCAGCACTCCTACACAGGGATAGCCCAAGTATTGACACTGAATTTGTTGACGTGCTTACCAATTTTCTTTATCAATTATGTCTTCCCCAAATGAACAGACTTCCCTATCTTCTGAACTTTATTTCTGCGAATATCTTAACACCATTTGATATATTGTTTTTAGAACTACTGAGTCTTTTGCCTTAAATTCAAATGGCATGGGCCAGTGAGGTCACGAGGAAGGTACAGGAGCTTGCCTCCAAGCCTGGTGACCTGAGTTTAGTCCCTGGAAACTACAAGGTAGAAGGAGAGAACCTACTCCCAAAGGTCGTCCCCTGACCTCCACACACAAGCTAGGGCTCAGGTACGGATAGATAGATAGATAGATAGATAGATAGATAGATAGATAGATAGATACATAGATACATAGATACATAGATACATAGATACATAGATACATAGATACATAGATGCATAGATAGGTACATAGATAGATAGGTAGGTAGATAGATAGATGATAGATAGACACGTAGGTAGGTAGGTAGATAGGTAAATAGATCATAGATAGATAGACAGACAGGTAGATAGATAGAT